ATTCATTATGCCAGTAAATAGTTTTGAGAGACAACTTGTTAATGCAATAGCTCTATAATTACCAAGATTTAATTTGTCGCCTGATTTGTGTAGTGGAACAAGAATCGTAGATTTCCAGGTTGCAGGAAATTTTCCACTATCTAGAATACAGTTGAAAAGTTTCTGTAAACATCTTATCAATAGTGCAGTGAAAAAGAGTGACGAAACGACAAAACCTTGGTGTGCCTCTTTGATGGTTTATCAGCAGACAACGGCAACCAAATGACCACAGTCGGCGGGCCGTTTGATGGTTCACAGCGTCGAAGTGTTTACGTCCGGTGATCACAGTAGCCAACCTGGATTTTTACAACAATTTATTATGTCAATCGTTCTAGGTGTTAAAAACTTTGCTGAATCCAATAAAATCGGGACATCTTGTGTAGCAGTTTACCATTCAAAAATCCACGCGCAATCTGGTAACATCGAGCCGCTAGCCGATCGATACACAGCTAATACGATAATACGAAGCGACCTTTCACCTGTTTACTTTATCAGCGTCTTTTATCTAGCGTTGGCATGGCTACCCCAGTGAAACGCAAACGCTGTGTGCTTGATTTGGACGCGAAGGTGTCAATTATAAATCGACTAGAACGTGGCGAAACCGCAATCTATCTACCGAGTAATGTGTTGGTAAATCGACGATATCCGATATCAAGGCAAAACGAAGCTGCTGGATTTTCCCAGTAAAATGGATTCAAGTGCAGGACTGAAACGAAAGATAATGAAAACTAGCCAATGACGATCGTTTAGAGAAATCCGTCTTTACTTGGTTCCGGGACTTGGTTTTTCCAAGAAAGAAGCAAAGGAACTTTATCATCGCTACATTTTACGGAAATTTTGAAACATTTTTTTAATATTCCAGCGTGCAACATTTTTATTACAATGTATTACTGATTAAATAAAAATGTTTTTAATGACGTTCTCTACATGTACTATTGTTTGATTTTATTACAGTCATGTGCGTTAGAATTTGTGTGTACGTGAGCTTGTAAATTTGAGCACGCCCACACAAGATCGCATATCCGAACTGTTTGCATAACCGAACAAAAAGCATGTCCCCCTAACAGTACGGATAATCGACGTTCTACTGTATTTGAAATGTAGGCATGTGAATTCTATCTACCTGATAACTAAATGCATTAGAGTTTGAGTTGACTATATTCATGACTGTTTACAATTAATGTTTGCATAGGCTGAAGAACAATCTAATACGCAAGAGAGAGTGTTTCAAGATAGACAGTACCAGATTGATGCTGCCATAGTGCGTATCATGAAAATGAGGAAAACTTTGAGTCATACATTGTTAGTATCAGAACTTTATAACCAACTTAAATTTCCAGTTAAGGTAAGATTCTACAATTACTTATTGGTTTCTACTGCATGTCATTTTGTTACCTCCGCTGAGCACCCGAAGATTCAACAGCAAATCACTAATTATGGCATTATGTGATTTGCAATAAGTTTTTTTTATTTGTCACAAAAGTGACAAATTCAAAAAATCAAATATATATATATAAACATGTTTATGTCATGAACAAAATAGGTTTATTAAAACTCATAAAAGAACATTTCCCAACTTTGAGGTGGGTCAACTTAATACAGTACTACTGAATCACTTACTCAGTCACAATAGTTCATCTACTAATTCAAGAAAATATTCTCATGTAAGTTGTATTAATAACAAGTCATTGTTAATCACCTTGTCCTTGCTTCATTTTGTTGTTCACAGTGATTACTAATGTTTCATATTATATATAATTTGTACAACCAGTTTATGTGTTGTATATGATATTTAGTTTTGTTTTAGTTTAGTTATTTAGTTTTGTTTCGTATATGGTCTAATTAACTGTTGAATCAATTTCACTATGACCTAATTTAGGCATTGTTGGCAATGCTTTAGAAAACTATGTAATTGATATACACTTACTGTAAAATACTTTATTTTCGCTTGGAATATATTTTCACTGAAAGAACGATTCAGCAAATATACCTTTTTTCCCTATTGTCTCAACATTGCATTCTCATTCACAGCCGGCAGATTTGAAGAAACGTATTGAAAGTTTAATAGATAGAGACTACATGGAACGTGATAAAGACAATCCAAACCAATATCATTATGTGGCATAGTGTTTTATTTCCAATATGACTTTTGATGATGCCTGCTTTACACAAGACATTGCGGGATAAGGTGAATGCTAGCTACCAGATGGAAAGTGAGACATTGAAGGCACTGACTTTTAAACTCTACATTGCCATGGATGGTGATCGGCTCCCACCAGTATTTTATTCAAGGATGTGGACACACTTTTCTGCACTTTTGATATGAAAGCTAGAAACAATATTGTTATTCTAATTAGACATATCGATCTCATTTGATTTTGTGCAACACACTTGTATGTGTAATGTGTAGCTTTTGGTACATTACATGCCATTACAATTATGTATTTATGTAAATATGTACTATCTTTTAGCTCAGCAAGATTCCAGTAAGCTATGTTTCACTTGCTATTTTTATTTGGTCATTTCACCACAATGCATATTCAGTTATGTTGCAAGGGCTTGTCAGGCTACGTTTCTATGACTACATTGATTTATATTACGTGTAAAGCCAGATTAAATGTCACAACTAATTCATAATTTGTGTACGATGTTTTGTCATTAATATAAGTTAATTTGTTACATCATTATTAGGAAAGTTATTTTGTCAAACATACATGGTAATAGAGTTGATTGTGTAGTGTGAAGCAGTTCTGGCAACTAAGATGTCTAAGACTTATCGACCTTGTGGAGGAAATATTTTACCATTCTGGTGGAACCTGTTCGAATTTTGAGCCCCAGATTTGTGTGATCAATGCAGATATATTCACAATTAATAAAATCTGTAAAGCTTGCAATTTTGTTTAACATAATGTCAAATTTATTTCAAGGTTGATCCCTTCACTGACATGACAACACAGCAAGAATGCACACAAACAATTTCCCATTTTCTGTACACATGGTTATGTGATATCAAACAGTAGTGCAATGTCTTTGTCTGTCTGGTGACCCTGTATTTCTCTGATTGTTAGGCACAATAAAATCAAAATACCTATCACGTTTCATTTTGGTATAAAATGAGAAGCAGCTATTTACAGAAATGTTGATAAAATATGGTATTACAGCACTACATTGGAAATGGCAAAACATAAAATTAATTGTGTTCAAATAGTATTGTTAAACACAAATGTTATTTTATTTGGGAATTTCTATGTTAAATGCTGACATTTTGAAATACAAATAGCAGGCAGCATTGCAAACTTTGCTGTCCCCTAACACAATAGTCATTTTATACCTTATCCTATGTTGATTTATTCCTACCACTTTATTGTTGTCCCAACTCATGTCATAAGGTGCAAATGCTATTATATTTCTTATTTATTTGCTGTATGATCACACCAGTATTTTTTATTCACACTTTCATTGTTATGATTATTAATTTAAAATTTCTGACTTGAATTTTGTTGGAAAATAGCTGGGCATAATACTGATGCAGGGAAAAGGTCAAGTTCATGCTATAATTTATTACATGGTTGTGTGGCACAGGAAATCAACCGATAGTGCATAACACTAGTACTCTGAGTACTGGTACCTTCAATCTATCATGGTTGTAATTCACATCTGTTATGTACAAATATATACTGTCTGATGTTTCAACACTCATCCCTGGTGGTGAATCCTGAATTATGGAACAGTACTATATGTATGCTCTGGGGTGTTGAGTGACAGTATTTCTACCTCTAGCCTTTGTCAGTTTTAAGATAGTACACTGACAACCTGTATCAAAGTTAACTGTGTGTAGTTGAGTATTTGCCATGGATTTTGGTCTACATACAATGTAGTATACTGCCCCATATATTCAGTGCATACTCATTCAGCATTACAAATATAATTCAACTCAAGTTTGCATAATGTCAAAGCTTGAATAACAAGTGTGTATCAGTGATAACTGATGGTTGTTCTTAAAATTTGTTTTAATTGGACCAATTTTTTTGTTAGCTCCGCTGTCGACTTTGTCGAGCGGAGCTTATCATATGAGCGATTGTCCGTCGTCCGTGTCAATGTTTTATTTTTTCGACTTCTTCTTGAAAACTACAAGCCTGAATGCTTTGATACTTGGTGTATATATACCTTGGGTAGACCTCTCTTAGTTTTGTTCATTTCATGTTGATATCTTCAATTCTCTAATTTTGGTGAATATTTTTGTCATTTTTGGTAAAAAGTGATATTTTCAACTTCTTGTTAAAAACCGCATGTCCAATTGCTTTGATATCACATATATAGGTACTACATATGGACCTCTCTCAGATTTGTGCACTTCATAATGATATCTTCAATTCTCTAATTTTGGTGAATATTTTTGTCATTTTTGGTAAAAAGTGATATTTTCAACTTCTTGTTAAAAACCGCATGTCCAATTGCTTTGATATCACATATATAGGTACTACATATGGACCTCTCTCAGATTTGTGCACTTCATAATGATATCTTCAATTCTCTAATTTTGGTGAATATTTTTGTCATTTTTGGTAAAAAGTAATATTTTCAACTTCTTGTTAAAAACCAATAGTTCAATTGCTTTGATATTACATATATAGATACTACATGTAGACCTTTCTCAGATTTGTTCATTTTGTGATGATATCTTCAATTCTCTAATTTTGGTGAATATTTTTGTCATTTTTGGTAAAAAGTGATATTTTTGACTTCTTGTTAAAAACTGTAAGTCTGATTGCTTTGATATTACATATATAGGTACTACATGTGGACCTCTCTCAGATTTGTTCATTTCGTGATGATATCTTCAATTCTCTAATTTTGGTGAATATTTTTGTCATTTTTGGTACAAAGTGATATTTTCGACTTCTTGTTAAAAACTGCAAGTCCGATTGCTTTGATACTATACATATTGTTCATTTTCTAATGATGTCCTCAGTTCTTTAATTGAAATGTGCATTGCTAACAGCGGAGATATCTCAGCCGATAGGCTGCTTGTTTTAATTATTTATGCTAATAATCAGTAACCTCGCTAATCATGTTATTTTCCACTGATGTCATTATGCAGATTTTGAGATATTGTATTGGATTCTTTACCAGGGTAACAATGGTAAAATATTAAAAAGAAAACCCCCACCTCTATAGTCGTGAAATGCCATGTAACAATTCTCTAAGATTGAACTGAAGTTACCATTTACTACAACTGACAATTAACCAGACAAAGTACTGTTTTGTGAGATTGATATTGTTTAGATATTGGACACTGGTTACTATAGAAGTATGATTGATGCTAACCCTTATGTGCCGTCTTTGTCTTGTTTGGCATCACTACTTCATAGTGTCCTGATATTTACCCTTGTTATAATCCAGTTTAGTGTTTAACTATGCATTACACACTAACTTACATCAACACACTTCAATCCAGAATTCTATTGAGTGTAGGCAAAAAATGTATGCTTTTAAATTTGTTTTTACTGATTTTCCCACCAATAAATGCAGCAGTTTTGGTCTAAACATAGTTTTACACGTACCATCCTTCGGAGGGCTGATATGAAATTTGAGTACAATTAGCAGTTTGATTAATTAAGTAAAAAAGAATGCATAATAACTTCAGTTGTAGGTTTTGTAAAGTTATTTTGTACATGCAGTTTGGGTTTTCACTCATCTCTAAGGTAGTGTTATGTACATATAATAGTCACAAAGTTGAATTGGTGACAGTTGAATCCCTAGTACATAAATAGCTTATCAAAATACCACAACTTGGTGTTCAAGTATTGATTTTTACAATTAGTGACATTTTTTTTTCTATGGACATCCAAGTTGTTTCCTTATTCTGTGGTCAGTCAATTCAGCTGGAAAACATGCCTTGTTTCAATTACTTGCTGCATAGATGCCGGTTAGAATTTGAATACTTTATAAATTCACTTGTTATATTTACTGAACTGCAACTTGTATCTCTTTTGATTCAAGTTTGTTTTCCTATTCTGATATGTAAAATGTATAGCGGTAGTTATATAGTGCTTAATTGTAAAATTTCTTGTATATTTGTGTGACTGAGAAATAAATTTCCAGTTGTTACTCTATACATGCAGTGTTGTAATGTTATGTTCAGATAGATAGGCTTTTAGGCTAGTTCGCTATGCGAACTACAGGGATTTTGATTGATAGATTTGGTAGAGGCAGCCATGACACAAGTGCAATTGCCATGGGCGACCAGTTTCATAGCCCTAATTCTGACTTCAAAGTAACGTATCCTGGCAACAAATTCAAGTTTACAACCAATTTACAAGTATGGTATTCATTCTGTAAACACATCCAATCACTATGTTCCTAATTTTAATACCAACTAACTACTTGTCCGCTGATGAAATGAAATTGAAGAAACTTATTTTTACTAGTGTTCAAATGAATGGTAGAAGCCTTGACTAATTAATGTGTTTGTTTCTTGTTATATTCTTTATTTTATTTTTATTTTTTTTAGGATTGAGAACTGACATGAAAATTTGTAACTTAGATTACCTTCATAAATAAAGTGCTATATTATTATCTATAAGACAACATTCAGTGAATGTCATGTAGGAACCCCATAGAATGCTTCACCGTTACAAAGGCAACCCCCATGCCTCTGCTGCAAAGATAATGTAATGTAGGACTCACTGATTTGTGAATATTTTTAATCCATTTACAGCACACTTAACCTGTTATATTTTATTCATGGGCATCAAAAGTGGTCGTAGATCTACTAATCGGGCAAACATTTGTACATATTTATTTTACAATATAGCATACTGCAGAGATTTGGAACAAACAAATTAATAATAAAGATGAGTAGCTGTCAGTCATTTAGAATATGTGATCTATAAACATATTTTATAAACTTTCTCTAAACTTGTTTGAATTATTCAATATGTTGTTTTTGTCATGGTTCAATACAACAAAAAAGTTAGCAATATCAAGGTTGAACATACTGTAGATACATTAATTATTAACTGATTTGTAATTTTTTTATTTTTGCATACAACAAATATGTAAAATAGAATAGAGCAATAGAACTTGTTTCCCTGGTTAATTCATAAAATACAAATAGTGAAATTAAACATCAGTAAAAAATAAATAGTTTCACAGTAGAGCTCATTGAATATGAACTTTGAACCCCACAGACCA